TGTGGTTTTAGCCATTTGGCTGAAATTCGTGTTCAAAATTTAAAAAATGCGAAATGCTCTTATCCATATTGCTGTAATGTGCGTTCCTTTTATGAAAGGGGAGGCGCCAAATGATTACATACTTTTGAGGAAGGCGTAGTAACTTCAAGTTTGGAAACCACTGCCGTAGAGAATGAAATATAACACCCTCAAATTATTGTAAGTAGCGCGTAGAAAGAAAATTGTCGTGAGCAGAGGTGCAATATTTGTAGTGTGAACTATTTCCGTTCTACTTTCAATCAATATTAAGTAAAGTACATTCGCTCTGGGTTGGAGTAAGAGCAATGAATGAAATTAACAATTTTGATATGAAATATTAATTCGAATGTACAAATGCTTATTTTTTTATTAGAGATGTATATTTGCATGTTTTTAAATACTTAGGCCATAAAGCAAATCAGAACCTTATATATATTTGTAATAACATATTTATTATTGTAATCCATTTTGTTTTATATTTTACTTTTAGTTCTAATAATTATACAATTTATCTTTAATTATTTAATAATAACTGATTGTTTGCGTGTACCAAGAATCTGGGTTTCGTATAGTTTGAACGATTAAGCAAAGGTACAACTAGGGGAGTGCGGTGTCTTTAGGGGACAATCCGATGTCCTTAGCGGCACATTTTTATTGGACACACACACGTCACACGCGTTATTACATTTTTATAGATTTTTGATAAAACGAGGACGATAATAGAGAATGCTCGTCATTAGTAAATGTAATGTAATGGAAATATAATGCATGTGATCCGTTAAGGGGGTAATGTTGGTGAATATTTCAGGGAACCACAATTCACTTTGGTATTTTCTTCTAATATGACAGCCCGTGTCATGTGAGCGCACGAAATTCGAAAGTTCCAACAGTTTATCATTTTCCTTTGTTTTCTCTCTACTAAACAAATCCCGTAAGCGTTATTACATATTCATTTTTTTGTGATTTACAGCAATTAAAAGACGATTAATTGAATTTCACCCATGTTTACAAGCGGTATTTGTATCGGAAATCAATTTCAAACTTATATATTTTTTTTGCTCATGCGTTGGTTGATGGTAATTTATTATTAATTTTTTCGTTGCTGCTGGGGCGGTAAATAATGGAAAATCGGAGGTAAATATTAGGACTGATGTGTGAATAATTTAGCGAGATGTGACGGTGTGTCTCGTGACGATTTTGTCGGGGGTGTCAAGCAACAACCCTTCTTTCACACGTGTGCGCCCGTTCCGGCCGCAGGAAGCGGCGCCTTTAAGTGACCACCACTTACGTAAATTACACGGAATGGGTGGGTGATTTTTAATTTATTTATGCGAAGCCCTCTCCCGTCCATAAATTATGCAATCATCGATTTTTAATTAAAGGCTGAAAAATACGACGGCGGCACTTCGTTTCTTCCATTTTTTATTGGATATTTGCATGTGCGAAGCGCACCGACGCTGACGATCAGGGATGTGGATAGTAGGTTAGATGCTAGATTAGTTAATATAAATTGTCCTTCATTCATATTTATATATTATACATTATCTGCGTGGCAATCTGAAACGCCATTGTGACATGGAACGTTACTTTCCTTTAATGCAGCTTCGGAATTTCGGTTGAAAAATAAAACATTTATTGTATTCCCATAAAAATAACAAACTCACAAATAAATACGATACTCCTCTACCACTCGTAGTATTACGAAACTAAAAGACGCCATTGTAATAGTCGTCGGTCTCTTGCTGCGGACTGTAGTAGTTGCTAGGTGTCAGCAACTCTTGAATCCTTCTAATCACCGATGACTTACTGTATTGATTGTACCAGGAATCCCAAAACTGCGACGCTGCAGGCGGTCCGTAGGTAATGCTAATATTTTCATTACCGTTTGATGGACCATAACCTGGATGGTTATTAGCTGGAGGACCATACGCGTTATTGGTATTGTTCGGAGATGCTGTCGTTGTAGTATTTGGTTGCATTGTTGTCGTGCTGGAATCAGTAGTTGTAGTAGTAGTCATTGCGGTTGTGGTTGTAGTTGCGCTCTGTCTAAACGTACGATCTTGTGGCCTATCTAACATTGCATAATCTTGGTCATACTCATCGGCATCATCATCGTAATACGCTGGTTTAGTCGTTCTTCTGTTAATTCTATTGATTCTAGTAGTCTTCATGCGATTGGGAAGTTGCACCAGATAATCTTCCTCTTCGTAACTTGTAGTTGTTGTGCGTCTCTTAGAAGGCACGCGCAATAACGGATTCTTTCTAATTAGTTTAACTGTACTGTAATCATAATCTTCATAATACTCAGGTTCTGGCGTTGTAGTTCTGTATTGGCCAATTCTGGAGTTCACCCTGGAAGGTTGTCTGCGCCTCGCTGGGGTGGTGCGACGTTTCGGTTTTGGGGCTTCCTGATACTCATCGATGTATTCACTATATTCGCTCGGTCTTTGTCTTCTCCTATTTACATTAGTTCCGGCGGTCTCTAACTCATCCTGGTACTGCTCCTCTTGAGGATCTTCGGTGGTCGTGGTTAGGAAATGATTTTCGCTAATATTCTGATTCATGATCAAATCCACTAGTAAAGAATCGTTTAGTTTTATGTTTTCCGACCCTTCGATAAACTCTTCTTCTTCTTCTTCTTCCTGAGCTGGCGGGAAATTGTTTATGTTTTGTGTATACTTATTGGTGTTATCCTCGTACGTCTCGCCATCAGGGTTGTAACCAGGTGTATCGTGTATATGAATTATTTGCTGTTGGTTTAGAGGTGTACTTTGAGCGGGTCTGAAAACCAGCGGATCAATGGGGTAGAGAAGAGGTTGAGGATAATATCCAATAATCGGTCTGTAGGGAAACCATGGTGCTTGAGATTTGCCCTGGGCCAACTTGCTGAGGATGCTAGCGGCCAAGATCAAGTTCAGAAGCGGACTCGTCGTCTGGAAGGTGCGCGAAATTCGGGCTAGAATACTTTGGCTTTAAAATTCTTTTCAAAGTATTAGACGTATTAGGTGTACTTACTATCGGTGGTATTGAGAGGATCCATTGCACTCGATGGTTTACGGACTAATGGTAAATTGGAAAAGAGGAAAGTGCTTTTATAATACGGGTCTTTTGCAAGTACCCTTATAATAATTATCGTCCTAGAGAAAATAATAATAATTTAAAACATGCAATGTTTGGTAATCTGTAACTTTTTTTCATTTAAAAAAGAATACGCCGAAGCGCGCGACATCTATTGGTGAAGAGTTACATCCGCTTAGGCCACTAAGCGGATCGATTTTTACCAAGGACTACTAGTGTCCTCTACTTACAACTACTATAATTATAGCTATTTTGGTATCTATGTACCAGTCTATGATGCGTACTTTATAGACAACATGTTTTTAATTATGTGGATACTGTTTTACCTAGACATTTTAAACGTATCAGTTATTTTTATTGTATATAAAATGTCTAGGGAATGTTTGATCATGGTAATTATCTTAGTTCATACATCTAATCCTATTTACTTAAACATCAAATAATCTCAAAGAAAGTATGATCTAGTTGTTTTCTTGTTTCCGCTTCGTTGTGATCTGTTTGTTGTCGTATAAATCCAGGTTACGACCCAAGTACCAGACCACCGCATCGGTGGCAACGCCAAGCGCAGTTAATACTGTTGATTATACAATTAATAACATTACTTTCCAACATGATTAAGAACTATACTTATTGCAGTTGAATTCAAGTAAACTCGCATCTTCCTGCGGTCGTACGTGTAGCAATTGCCGCGCTTCCCACAATAGTCGTTCCAGATAGTACAGCTGGAGTCGATAATGATGCCATAAATGATGGGACCTGGTATTAGAGCGAAAAGACTGATCATCCACAGCGCGAGTCCTTGAGCGAAAGATTTGTCCTTTATGTGGACGCTCCTAAATAACAATATTATCGAGTTGCGGAAATTAAGTTAACTTTAAATTCAATACCTGTAATTTACAAGAAGATTTCCTATGCGACCTGAGCTACCCATGAAGTTGATCACAAAAGAGATCAAGACGAACATCAGAAAGTAGTAGTAACAATCGGTCAGGCAAGGACCGTCCTTAAGGAGTTTATCAGGCCCCGCGCAAGCACAACCTGTGAACAGCTGAATAATAATTTTAATTGTATATCCTTAATACAGCTTTGGTATTGGAAAAATACTTTGTTCTCAGAAACGTTTCCACAGCCGGCGTGGCAAGGTGAGAAGTACGTGGTTTGTCCTACCGAGTCGCAGACTGGTGAATATTTGATGTTGTTGCAGGAGCAATTTGCGTTGCAAACTGCATTCAGCTCGAAACTAGAATTAAGATGATTAAACTTCTATGCTTCCATTGTTGTTAACAAACGTACATCTTCGGATTATTCGAGAACGAATGAACTTCCGTTATGGGGCAATCCAATTGAATGAAGATCAATTGGCCGATTATAAAGACAATGCCCACGACGACGTTCCAACCGAGCAAGTAGACTGGGCCAGGCCTGTACTTGGTGATCAGATAGCCGGAAATCAAGAAACCCGCCACCATTCCAACTAGCATACTGGGACCTAGAAAATTCGTTGGGACCTATGTATAAAATAACTTAAATTCTATTTACCAGTGATAACTGTGTAAGTAGCAGATTCCTGAAACTGCACTTCGAGGTACTTGCTGATGTAGGTGATGTAGCCGCTGGCGCCGAGGATGTAAAACACGGCGGATAAGTTGTTGTACATCAACAATTTATTCTTCAGTAGCCGCTTGAGCGCGACCGGAAAATCTGCAAGGATTAGATGTTAGAAAGGGGAAAAAAATAATACTTCAATTAATAATGCAACCCTTAAGCTTCGGTATCTCCGGTGTCGTCGCTTCGGCCAGAAATCCGTTCTGCTCCTCCGGATACAAGTGTTTGGTTTCGGCGGCAGGTAAGTATTGTGGAAACATCGCAACGAGGAACGAAAATACAAACATAATAGAACCCAGGAGAATCCAACCAAGCCACCAAGCGCCCAACCATCGTGGATCTTTTTTGTCAATTAGTGGCACTTTGGTTGGATCGATATAGACGTTTAGACATATATAGGCTAGCACAAAACCCACTGCTGGTCCCAAGGTTCTTAACGCTAAAGTCCATCCTGCAACACGAAAAAAAATCAATCCCGTTCTGCGAAATAAATTGGTTTTTTTACCAAGGAGTATTGGCGTTTCCGTCTTGCTGGTATTGTCGTCCAGGTAGGTCTGGCCGAGAGAAAAGTATAGTGTATTCCCGATACCTAATATGAATTGAGAGAAAAAGACGAGAACTAGAGGGATGATTGAGAAATCACCGCTGCGATCTTGCACGTTGCAGTCGACACTTTTTTCTTCGGAACGGCAGATTTGATCCTCGAAGCTTCTTGAGGTGTTTAAGGTGGTTTGTTTGAAGTTATCGTTTTTCGATTGTGCTGTGAGCGATAGGGCGTCAGCTCCTGGACCGTAGATCAGGTGGGGTAATGCCACTATGAAACAAGATAGAGCGGAAAAGGCCACCCCCCAGGCAATCCATCGAGGACGGTTCCGATGCGCTCCGTGATACGATAGTATCAGAGATAACAGTATTTGGCTAATCTCGTTTCCAGTCAGTATAATACCTTTTTTTTTTTTCATATATAAGACTTCTGTTTTAATATTTTTTCTTGTTTTAATTTAAGCATGTTACCTGTCGTTTTGCTGGGTATCTTGAACCGCTTTTCCATGGTGGTGAGGGTGACGACTAGGTAGACAAATGCCATCGCCTGGATGGTCCCCAATAGACCGTAGACGGCCATGAAGCTCTTCACCGTGGCGAATTTCCTTAGCCACTTCGGTCGGAACAAACTGATGCCGCAGCTCTGGTCCATTTTCGGGTTCGGCTTCTAAGATCCGTGTCTATTCACTAGCTACGTTGCTCCAGTTGTAGTCCACGCAGAGCTAAGTAATAATCATCTAACACACATACAGAGAGATTAGTCAATTTAGGTAGTTAAGGAAGCTATTTTATTGTTGCCCCGTTGATGCACTACGCCAGACTCGACTCGCATTCACATAATTCATCGATATCCTATCGCAAAGCAAATTCGAGTCGAATCTCAAGAAGATTGTTTTTCCCTCAAGCACCTGATAGTGTAAATAAACAAATTGAGAAAGAGCAAAAAAAAATAAATAAAATTACAAAGATAAATTATTAAAAATTATGAAAGAAGGATGGAAAGTATTTCAATTTACGCGCGTTTTTCGCGCTCTTAATCGGAGCGCCAGATAAGATAGCGCATTTAGAAATACCGCGAGTATGGATGGATTTTTCACACAAAACCATGATCCATCCTACGCGTCTGATGCGTTCTGATTCGAACGCGAATCGCGCTTTCTCGGCGCCGGCCAACATAAACACAGGACTCGAGGATGACTTCGACTGCGGACTCAAGGTGCTGCCGTGCATCGGCGAGAAGATGGGGTTGAAGAAGTTTGCCAATGTCGGGGTGTTCATCTTCCTCTCGGCGATGCTGGGACTCCTGCAGGCCATCGCATTCGCCTACTTCAAAGGCACCGCCAGCGTCTGGTCCAGGCAGTACAATTTCAACAACGAAGTTACAGGTGATCCTTTTTCATTCGAATCTTATCGACCAAATTTCGCCACTGATTAAATCTGTCGCTACTTACGAGAGAACTGATTTTATAATTGCAAGATAGTGTAATTGTTTGATGATCTCATTCGATGTTCCGTCCACATTCTCTTACCGTATTAAGTTACCTCGATTAGCCTTTACAATCTTTAAAGAATTGAGTTTAAGAACAACACATGTGTCATTGCTAATCATATTTATTGTTTCTTCAAAACAATAATAATAATTAATTTCATTCATTTTTAACACAATTGACAAATCTTACAATTAACTTTAGTTATTCTATACATTTTTTTATTAGTATAATATAATTGTTTACATTTCAATTCAGTTTCTGGTGTTCGACTTTTAAATAGTTTAAATTAATTTTTTACATAAAAAATAATCCAGTAAATCTATTATAGGTTACTGAAATGTGAATACATTTATTTCGAGCTCTAATTTTTCATTTTTTTCAACTTTGAACGCGAATTACACTTTGATTAAAATGTTACATATATGTTCAAATTTCAGACATTTAGCTTATCTTTACTAAATGTTTTCTATTGTAACGTACTAAATCTGTCCATATCTATAAAATAATAATTGTACTATACCAGAAATAGTAATAGTAACTATGAATATTTCATCATTATCATTTCAAATCAAATTTATAATTATATAAATATGACGTTTGCATTTACCTCATATATTTAATTAAAAGTAATTAATACTATTAAATATTAATGACGCAGGTAATAATATCCATTTGTACATACAATATTGATTATTACATTTACACATTTACTAATGATTTAAAAATTCCTTAACAAATACTAGAAAAAATTTAGAAAATTATAAAATGTTATACAATGTGTTTTTTCTAATTGTTAATTGTATTTGTATAGTGTATGATTACGCAACAATTATTTTTTGTTATTAACAGTGATTCAGTAAAGTGCATTTCACAGGCTAGTTCATCCATAATTCTAGTATGATTATCACATCGGACTACTGATCTCTTATAACTATTATATGCATACTGGCTTCCTCTGCTATATACAATATTATTAGTTTACGCAAGGTTTCCAGGACTACGGCTTAACGCTGTAGTTATATATAAACACTGGCTTTGTACACGTGTATAAACGTATATTGGCGTATACGAATATTCTTACAACAATGTAAATAAAAAAATTGCATAACACGAACAAATAAAAATACTGGCTGTTGTAATTCAAAGTACTGACTGAAAATGTGTTAGATAATTCTTGTAGTACATATTCAATCAAATAATTAAGTGAATACTTTTTCCTTTCTGTACCTGCGTCTCTTGGTACTGAGCCGCATGCGGCTCTAACTGTATTGAAATTGGCTCTTTGCTCCAAAAAGGTTGCTTAGTATAGTGTAAATCAGTTATTTCCTTCATTAGCAAATGCTTTTTTTACTTATATTAAAAATTGTTCATTTTTATTTCTACGATTTTTGTTTTTTTTTTCTACAGTTCTACAGGATAATATTGACAGATTGTATGTATATAAGGCTACGGTATAAATCAATTAACTAATTTTAAAAAAAATAAAGAAAAGCTGATGATTGCATTGTATAAGAGGATTTTTTTTGTAGGAATCATATGTAGACACAGATGCTTGTAAAAAGCAGTCAGTAGATTGTAGCAATTTATTTAAAAGGAAGGTAGAAAAACGTTAATTACGATTGTTTTTTTTAATGGTCCAAGCTGCTCGGGGACGGCACAACAAAGGGAAGCTTAATACTTTCAAATAGCATAAAGAACTGCAGTTCGGAGATTATGTGACAGGCGACTTTTTCAATTTAGATGCCGATTTAATTACTACACTTTTTTTGCACAAATTATTGTAGAATGTTTATGGATGTTTACGTAACTGGCCCATTCAATTTGCTGATGCATGTATCTTCTAGTTATTTTAATATATCATTTATGTGTTTTTTTCGGGATTTTTTTTCCCGGGAAAATTAATCAATGCAACTAATTCTGGTGTTTATCTTTAATAGATTTGATTAGATTTTAATTGTGTTGAAAAGGAAAATTATTTGTTCGTGAAATAATTGAAATCCAATGTTTGCGTTAAGTGAAATCTGAGTTGCTTAACTATAAAGTGCTTTTATTTAAGCGAAAATAAATGTTTTCTCAATAAAAACGTATTATTTTTTGGCTCCAAACAATAGGCAATTGAGTACTTGAAATAAAAATGTAATCACTGATATTAATGTCACCTATATTTGTAGATTTGAGACACACATATGGATATGATAACCTTCAATTAATGTTCCAAAATAATTAGAAACTTATTTAATATTATATACATTTGTATACATTTTCATTTAGGTTTGTGTATTACGTTTATTCATTGCGTGGTTAAGTAAGTTGTCACCAATTTGTAAATAAATATAAGTAAATTACGTAATACAAAATATTATTTTTTTATTGAAATGTGATAAATTTTGGGCATTCCATGATACCATTAAAAAAATCTATACTAATTGATATTATCAAGGAAAGATAATAAAATGTACTCGTCAGCATTCTCACAATTATCAACAATTAAAAAAATCATTCTTGTAAAATAAATTATTAAATTTTAATTTTATGAAGTGTCAACCTCAATTAATTATACATAGACTTACGTTAAGAGAATGTACGTTAACCGGATGGTGAGTTTCTATGTAATTGCATCTACTGCATTTTTTTTATACAAATATGTCTCTTCATTCGCACGGACATATTAAATTCTAATTGTATATACAATCAATCATCAACCTCAATTAAAAAATATAATATGCATACGTTAAGGAAATGTATTGATAAAAATCTGTCTCTTAATTTATAGTATAATTGTATATATAATGGATTGTCAACTTTAATTAACGGACATAATGCAAGCATTTCAATTTTTTGATAGAAACGTGTCTCTTCATTCACACAGACGTATAAGTTGGTCATATATTAATAATTTGTCACTATTTGAAATTATCACAATAATCACTATTATATTAAATTTGATAATAAAAGTAGTGTTTTTATTATTACTGATAAGCATCTCAATATGCGCATTCCAACAACACACGAAAATGTCGACAAATATAACAATTGACAATGTGTAAGTTTATATAATGCTTATCTTATGATAAGTTTCCCCAAAATGCAATTGCAAATATCAAATGTAATCAGTTTCGTACAACTATGTAATCATAATATTTATTGATAAAATGCAGTTAACATACGTTTTTACTCATATAGATGTGTATGTACCAAGTTTATTTATAGATTTACCGCAAAAAGTAAAGTACGGTCAACCCTTGAATTCGATACTTCAAACTCATATAGAAGTCTGAAGTTGTTTAATTTGACAAATTTTCCAATTGAAGTATCCATAATATCCATGTATCTCAAAACTTAATTAAAAAAACTGTAATGATAAAATTGTTCCTAGTTACATGTTACAAAACACTCACAGAATCATATTGCGCAATCCATATCAAAACAATAATATTATTATCCGTTAGATTTTGTATATGTCAAGGTTTACGATTTACTACTATCGCGTAAATTAATTAGTTAGAATCCGATTATAATAATGTATATTGATTACATAATACATGTGATGTCACTATCGTTTCCAGTTGTAATTTACCATTATAATTTTATTTTTTTAAATTCTTTCCGTTTTTGATGAAATTATGTTTATTTTTATATCATAATAGGCTTAGATGTATAGCATTCTATTAATTTTTATCTCGAATTGATTTATTGTACACACTTCAGTACGTTCGTATGAAGGTTGAATACGTTTATGCGGAAAATGGTAAAGATATAAATCCGTAGTCGTTATGTATGTTAATATTACAAATTGTGCCTTTTTTCCAGAACAGACAAATTTTCTGAATCACAAGAAAATTTAACATTTTACATACGTTATATTATCGAATTTATAGCATCTAGCACAGGGGTCGGAAACGTACGGCTTTTTAAATGAATAATTGCGAATCTTTTCGTTATTAAACAATCTATTAGTTCTGTTGGTCAACACGCTCATCACTGCGTGCAGTTTCTTATTTATCTTCCTAACAAAGTAAATAAATCGTACGTTCGTATGAACTTCGAGTACGTTAATGCGTGTAAACCAAAATATATTGATTTGTTGTCTATGTTTATTAGAAAATGAAATAATATATTTATTTAATGAAATTCTTAAAATAATAGAAAAATAAGTAACATTGTACGTTGCAAAATTAGAGGAATTATGTTTAACTACCAAGGACTTTTCAGCGCTTAAATATATAGTCTTTAATTCTTTACTTTAGTAATTACGATTTCTATTACCTACTTCAGTCAATTGATGTTTCCCCTGAAAATGCTTTTGTCATTTAGAATTGATCCATTGTTAACTAAACTTTTCATTACGTGAAGGGGTGTAAATTTCTTAAGTTAACCGCACAATGACCACCACGCACGACACCGACGGTTGCCACTAAGGGCGCAACAGGTTACCTTTATCCAGGCATTATCTTTATGCCCTTAAACAGCGCTGTTGAATACACTAGTGGCATGCATTTACCAGATTCTGTTTACCGCTTTCCGGATTAATGTCAAAATAAATATCACTTAACGTAAATACGTACATTTGATAATATGATTATTTATAGTCCGTAATAACGTACAAATATTCGTACGAACGTACACTGATAAAAGTTATTTTCTGTATTTTTTTTTCTTCTTCTAAAACTCAATTTATATGATTGAAATAAAATTGAAATATGTTTAAAGTGCACGTTCGTGAATTAACGTTTACATTAACATTCGCTTAACGTACTGCATTTTATGTATGATATTTGTACGTAAATCCTTTTTGGTATTTTTAAATTTCGACTTTTTAAGATATTATATAATACGTTTCATATGTAATATATATGGTAGGTACATTTGAAAAGAAACTGCACTGTGTGTCGGCTTACGGCTGTAAAAGCTTTGCTGAAGCATTTAGTTTCGGATTTGCAGAGAAAAATCGCTAGCAGAAAGCAAGTGGCGATATTCAATAAGCTAATCCTCTATTGAATATACCCGATACATGAGAGATTACACTATCCTGAATGGCGAAAGCCTCGTCACTTTATCGTAAACCGCAAACGTTTGAATTTTATATTCTAACTTTACATTCCGCATTTCTCTAATTCGTTCAGTGAAACTGAAAATGCACAGTTTTACACAATCGATTCAATACAACAACAAAAACGATACTTGTACAGATTATTGATTAAATATCAATTTTTATACATATTATTTAGTATATTTATTATAATATTTATTAAATAATAATTTTTAATCTTAATACTTTCACAATAACAATGCTTCATTCTACCTATTATTTTTTTTTATTATATTTACTATTCAATAAATTGTATTTGCTTAAAGCTGTTAATAAATAAAATTAATTAGATAATTAATAAAAAAAGAAATATTTTTTGTGTAATGAAGTTTTTTTTTTGCAGATTGGCTCATTTATTCGTGTGACGTTTTCGGTGGCGCTTTTTCGTTATTGATTAGTTATTGGGGCAACCGAATTCACAGAGCATCCTGGTTGGGTGCGCTGTCTATATTCCATGCCATCTCTGCGGCGACGTTAATCATCCCCGAGCTGTACCACCCCGGAACCGCGGAAAATCCGAACGTTACGCAAGGTAGATACGACGAATTTAGTATACACGACTTTACTGAACTTTGTATTCCAGTTGCCCTGGAGAGCGGATTCTGTGTGAAGAATAGCCACCAAAATCAATTGGCCATTGATCAGGATGGAAGCATGTACATAGCTTTAGTGCTGATCTGCATTTACCAGATGCTTCAGTCCTTCACGACGGTATCATTCCTAACCCATGGCATTACATATATCGACGATCATATAGGAGATCTAAATAAGAGTCCCATCATCATTTGTAATAACCATAGCAATATTACATCAACTCAACTATTATTATATTTTTTTTTTGTTAAGGTATTCTTTTATTAGCGTACGAAATCGGAAAACCGATTGGTTCATATTTGACTTGGGTCCCAATTGTTTTTAATCAAAAATTGTTTGTATCTTTTGGTAAGTAATAAAATTATATTTTCAATTTTTTTTATTACACTTTTTATTACTTGCAGCTTGGTTAAACGTTGTGATTTTGATGTTTATCGTGGGATTTTTCATCACTTTGTTTCCACGAAAATTGCCCTGCAATATTATTAAAAAGGCGGCATCTACAATTCTCGATCAAACCAATAATAGTGAAGGGTCTAATAATATTCCTCAAATAGACACAGGTTGAGTTTGGATTGTTTGAAATATTTTATATGATGGTTTTGATTTTTAGGTTTTCTGGCGACATTCAGGAGGGTTTTCATCAATAGAATTGTGATTCTCAACGCTATCGCTGCAACTCTTATGAGTATAGCTATTACAAATTTTTCACTGTTGAGTAATGAATTTTTCCGAACTCGTTTCGTTGATACCTCTTCGACGAGAGATTATAGGAGTACTTTAGCAACAGGAATGAATCCAGGTCTCATCATGCAACCGATTACTAGTTCAGTTGTAATGATGTCTGGTTTCATCATCAGTAAATTCAAACCTGGAGCCACGTATTTAGCCACGTGGAATGTGGCCATCTACATTTTGATTGCAATGTCTTTTGGTAGCTACGGATTCTTGAATTGCGAAGAGGACGTATTCAACGATTACAATCGTCTTCAGACTTATTGCAACAATGGATGCAACTGCAATACCAGGGTGTTTTCTCCCGTCTGCGCCGGAAATAAGACCTACTTTTCGCCCTGCTGGGCCGGATGTCCAGATAAAGTTTGTATACACATCAAGAAATATTTCATCAAATCAAAATTTCTTATTATGTTCTCATTTGTTTTGTTTACTTTCTTCTCATCTTATATTATAATTTTTCATTTACTAAAATGTTACTTTCAATATATTTCATGATTTTAATAGCTTGAAAAAGTATTGAAGCATACTTTAAATCTGCTAATGACAACCTATAATCTAAATCAATGATGGGAAAAGTAGAGGTTCTATTCAAACATAGAAATGTTCAATTTCAATGTTTAAAAAACAATCATTTATGGATTTATATATTTACAGTGTGGTCACATAAGCATTTACATTATTATCTCTTGGTGGTCTAGTATAGAGACCGTGTTAGAGGGTCTATCAATATTTATTGTACAAACGTGACGTGAGCTTGTTATCCGCGTTCAGTCTGTTTACATAATAGCCTATTGCTATTACAAGTAGAATCTGCTTTCGAGAACGATGTAATTTTGAACATTATATGAATAGCATCAATATTGTTTACATGACAATTATAGTAAATTTATAATAATAAAAAAATAGACTAAAAATTGGATTGCGTCTTATAATTCATTATATTTTTTTTGCATCAAGTTTCATCCTTCGTCCTGTATCTAATAATTTTATAATTTATATTGTACAATGACTTAGTTTCATATAATAACTTGTTTAAATCATATAATATAAATATTCTATGAATTAGATGCAGAGAACTAAAAATTTATGAAATATATAGGTGTTTCATAGAATATCTACATTTTAACATTAAATTATGAAAAAATGTTTTTTTTTTCTCACAACTGTGACTTTTACTTTATTATTTGTTTTATATTTTCAAATTACTTTAAGTACGTACTTTTACAGATTGTATTTTTATTTTATTCATTTCAGACATTCACAGGATGTTCGTGCTCGAATTTACCAATTAGTGAGGGTTCCTGCAATGCGGAAAAGTGCGCTTACATAAAGATATTCGCTCAATCGAGCGCCGTCCTAACCGACGGTTTATTGAGCAGCGGTATCATAACCCATTTGCTAATTACTCTGAGGGCAATTCCTGAAACAGATAAGGCCCTGGCCTTGGGGCTCCATTACACTTTCATTAAGCTGCTGCCTTATGTGCCATTTAAAATATTTTACAACTTGGTTAAAGGTAATTAATAAAGCTTGCTGAGGTTGAGGGATGAGGGATGAGGGTAGATTGAATTCAAACAATGTTTTAGATTCTTTGTGCCTGACTAGCGATAATGACGAGTGCCATTTCTACCGGGATTCCTTCCCGACGGTGCTGAGTTCAGTGACCTTAACGCTGATGATCCTTGCGGCGGCCGTTGCTTTAACTCTAGTATTCTTCGTCAAGGATCTTTCTCTTTACGAGGTGCCGGAAAAGGAGATGAAACCTATACCATTGGATCGCATCGACGAGCAGAACGAAGGTGAAGGAGATCCGATGATGCGACGCGGCATGAATTCTAGTGGAGGCACTCTTTACTCGGAGAGCGATATAGACCGAGGTCTCAGGGAGACGGAGTTTTGAGGCGATTGTATAAGAAAATCAAAATCAAAGTATTAATATATGTATTTTTTAAGTTTATTTCGATGATCATTTTGTGAGATTCTCAAGTTCCGTTTCCACGACCGTCTCAGGTTTCGCGTTCTCAACCTCTTTGACGTCATCGTCAAAAATCTTCAGGTCTCTTACGAGATACCAGACGACGAGATCAAAGAAAGTGCCTATCGTAACGAAAAACGCTGCAGTGTAGTTCATCGTGTATCGCAGTGACTTTCCGTTGTACAGCCAACAATTACCGTTCCCCTTGCAAGTTTTTCCCCATAGCAAGCACGTTTTATCTGTAACGACAACAACAAAAAACATCTAATACTCGAACTGAGATGCTCTTAAATGGAAATCACCTATTATGATGCCGAAAAGGATCGGTGAGGGGACGAATGCAAACAGGCTCATCATCATTAAGCCAAAACCCATAGCAACTGGCTTATCCTTTTCGTCGACACACCTATTAAAAATATGAATGAATCACTTGTCTTTGTCATTCCCCCAATGTAAACTAAATCGCTTACCTGACTGTAACCAGGAAGTTGGATGCGCGGCCGGTGGCGCCGCTAAACTTCAATATGCAGACCACAATCAGGAAGATGTAGAACTTTTGCATACAATCAACGAAGCAATTGCCTTGAATAGCTTCTCCACCAATATTTGAGCTGTCTAAAGGGTTATGCGAAATGCATGAACAGTCCTGATACACTTTTGTACCATTTATAGTGATTTGCTGTTTGCATCCTGCATGGCAGGCCGAGATAAATCCAGTTGTACCGTCGCGTGCACAGACAGGATTGTACTTGACGTAATCGCAATTGCAGTTTGCGTTGCAATCCAGTAATGGGTTCAGGCTGTAAAGTGAAAGTCATTACATTTATCACTCAAACGTATTCATTGTATTAGCTTACTCTCCATTTGCGGTCACTGGTACCCTGTTATCATTTTCGACGCAACCTAAGTATACGTATGATATTATACCGAGCACAGAAATTGCCCCAACAACCACGTTCCAACCGGCTAGGTATCTAGCTTTTGGTTTAAATTTGGAAATAGTTAGTCCTGATAGCAAGACGCCGATCGCGGAAAAGACAAGACCTGCAGTTCCTGTGATCAGACTTGAAGCAGATGATGATTGCCTATATTGTGTCTCTATATATTTGGGCAGGAATATCCAGTAAGGCATGTACCCGAGGAAATAGAAAATAGCAGCAACGTTGTTGAACATCAGCACTGGATTGGAGACGACGCGTCTGAATGTTTTTATCATATCTGTAACCGCTTCGATTAAGTGTTGGTTAAGTGATGATTTAGGATATTACCTTTAAATGAAGGTTTTTGATCGCCGTGGAATGGTTCGCTCTGCTGCAGCCTCCTCGCTGCAGCCCTCGGTAACGTCTTTGGGAACAGCGCTAGTAGCGAAGCGAAGACAAACAAGCACCCTGCTAAAATGATCCAGCCCAACCACCAAGCGCCCAACCATCTTGGATCTCTATTTGTTATAGTTGGGGTTAAACTTGGGGAGATGTACAAATTGAGACAGAATGAGGCCAGAGTGTAGCCCATCGCCGGACCCAACATGCGAAGGAATATGGAAACGCCTTCAATGAGAATAGAAGATAAATGATATTCAATGAAAGCGTCTGGAACTTACTGATTAGTGCCGGTGTCTTAGATTTCTTGATGTTGTCATCCATGTAGGAGACACCGAGAGTGTAGAACAGAGGTGCGCCTATACCTGAAATAAACTGTGCCAGAAAGAAAATAATGGCAGGTGCGTAACCTCCGGTCTCCGTTTCGCATTCCGTAGCTGTTTGATTGGCCTGGCACAACGCTTTTCTGGATACCAACTCTTGTAGTTCGATGGTGGCGTTGTCGTTTTGAACAGCTCCGAACTCCTCCGTTAAGGATAAAGCGTCCTCGCCGGGACCATAAAGCCAATGCGGAAGCGCCGTTAGTAAGCAGTAAATGACGACGGTATACAACCCCAAAGCCATCCATCGCGGCTTATGCTTACCACCTGTATAATAACTCAACACCATAGACACCATTAGCTGACTTAGGTCGTTGCCGATGGTGATGATTCCTGAAAGTTGTATAATCTGTAAATTTGCTAAATATTATTATATTCTCGTACCTGTAGTTCGGCTGGGTATTTTGAAACGCTTTTCGAGTGTAGTTATAGTTCCGTTGTGGTAAGCGTATGAGGCTGAGAACATGCAACCTAGGATACCGTAGAGGAAGACGTAAGCCTTTTTGTTGGCGAACGGCTGCAGGAAAGAACCTCTGAATACCCAAAAACCGCAGGTCGTCTCGTCGTTAAGCGTCGGTGGCGCGCCGTTCTTGAAGAGTGTCTCCTCATCCTGTCTTACGCCATCGACGATGCTCCTCTTCCCAGCCATCGCGTGTTACACTAGCTTCCAGAATCCTCGTTGATAGGCCACTATCAACTTCCGAACGATAAATACAAGAATTATGTCGCGCTCGCGGTATATGCAAAGCATAACTTGAATGCGTTGATTTAAACTCAAAGTGATTGCTTTAAATGGGGAAAAAGGGTCATAAATTTAATTAAGCCGCAGTTTTTTAATCTCCGTTTGCTCCTCTCTCACACATTCACTATCTTTCACCCATACATGTATACACACATACACGCACTCAACTGTTATTTTGTTTTCACGGTTTGCTCTCTTTTCCTATCACTTAACTCATGTAAATAAATGCTTTTTTGCAATAACAACAACAACGAACCTTAGTTTTTCGGATGCTCTGTAGCTCGCACCGCAAGAAATTCACCAAATTGACAATCGGAAGTTATGTTAGTGTTAGTTTGTGGGCGGCACACTAACGCAATAAGTACTCCTCTACTTTAGAACCTATTCATTCATCAACCGAGCATTATATAAAAAAATCATTTGGGCCTGCGTGGCCTGTTTGCATCTTTACGTGTGTACGTGCATGTTTATAGAAATATATATACACATACATATATAGTTGTAAGTGTGTATACGATGTTCATGCTTCAATTACCAAATCAAATATATATATATATACATATATAGTTTTTGTCCTCACTATGAAAAGCCTTTTCTAGTCACCTGGGGATGGATTGCGCTTCAGTTCTGCACCCCCTTCTTATGTATACAATATATATCTGCATTTTCCTCTTTATTCTTTATGCGAGGGGTGGGCGGAGGCGGCGGGGAGGAGGCCGAGGCGGGATTTTCGTTTATTTATTTTTCCTCCCGCTACTCGTCTTGCTTTCTTGTTTCTCTGTGTGTATATATATCTTTTTTTTTGTTCGCGTCTCTTCATTTCGGGGGTGGAGGTTTCAATAATAAAAGGGTGGAATTAAAAATAAATGGAAACTTTTTCCATAAGTCCCCGTCAGATTACAAATAATGAAAGCCCGGCTCGCATTGCGTTTAGAGTTTTAATAGTCTTATGGCACATTGCGTGGAATTAGACGAAGAAGAATATTTACTCGATCTTTTCCTCTTACGAGCGGCTCGGTCCGAGACAATGCCGGAGGTCGGGCATCACCACCCCACTCGATTTTGCAGTAATCCTTGTATAATGGTTGCGTAATTCTTCCACTCGGATCCTGCGGTTGTTGCGGAGGTGGCGGAGGGGACACAAGGGGGTTGGCGGTGGTTGAGTCTGCTGTGGCGGTTCGGGGGGGTGGTGGGCGTCATCGGCAACTCTTTCGGTCGGTTATCGCGTCTAATGTATTCCGTTCGCCCGAAGACCGTGGGGCCGTCGGTCCCCCGATTTGTTCCGGTCGCTTAATATTTTTAACAGTCTCAGGCATTAACGGGCGCCGTCTCCGCCGCCTCCGCCTCTGCCTTCACCGTCTTCATCGCGCGAGGCACGAGGATTAAAATGTAATAACTTCGCTGCACGCTGAAATTACATTTTTAATTTGAATAACTTATTTTTCGTGTTGATTTAAGCATTTGCTCCGGCGTTCGAGCGCTGCTAAGACGTGCCGTCGCGGTAAAAATTGCGATTCCGAACTAAAGCTAAGTGAAGATTGGGGGGCTTAAAAAGTATAATGGCTCTCGGAAGGGGGTTAAATGGACCCCGCGGCCGCCATCATCGCCGCCACCGACCAAGATCAAATCTGATCACGTTCACCAACTTAATCTTGGCACGTAATGAAAAATAGCAGGTTCGTTAGTGGCGGGTCGCGATCCTCCCTTGGACTTAAAGAAAGTAACCCTTGTCGAAACGGCGATAAAAATATATATATATATATGTATATATCTATATAGATGAAGAGGAATAGGACGGCGAGAAGAATCTGGCGAAATTGCGGAGCGGAATAATATGGTAAATGATCGGCCCCCTTATTTATGGGGGTTGGGGAAAGCTGAGAGGAAGATGGGGGATGATGGGGGGCGGCGTTGGAGTTGGAGGTAGCGGCAGCGACGCGGCCGCTTTTATTACCGCAGATGCGACTTGTGTTTATTTTGATCAACGAGCTCAGAAACGCATGCATGCTACACACGGGAATCAATTTTAACAAACCTTCCCCCAATCCCAGAGTACTTCTATTTATTCTACTGCAATCATATAAACTCAGAACACCCACCGAGTCTCGAACCTATTTATATCGTTCCATTTTTCCATATTCATATTAAACTATATAACCATTCCTTATTGTATTGGGCTATTCAAAAAGTTTATACGTTATATACTTACATAACCATTACACCAACTTTGTATGCAATATCATAGTAGATGTATGTTAAACTTAAAAAATATAAATATTAACAAATAATAAATCCTTCCTCGCAAATATTCATGATGTAACAACTAAACTTTTAATAAAAATAATGTTTATTATTATTTTGATTTATTTAAGGATTATATAATAATAATATTTCGTTAGTCATTAGTATGGTTAAGCAGTATGAAAGAGTGAGTGCTGTAATACGAGTGCAGGTAAGTAGAGCTTAGAGCAAAAAGCGAAGCGTATGGTAATCCCGTCGGAGTTGCGTAACCGGAGTTGCAAAGAGGTTATCCGGATACGGCTGTAATCGGTGATGAGTATAAGCTATGTCGCGTCTATTTATTTTCGGGTCCGTTGATAGGGTCCAGAGAGCCATGGGGGAAGAAGCTTGAGCCATCCCCATCCAGTTTTCAGGGCTGTCTTTTGCGGCATCAACTCCCCCGTCCGTTTAATCATGTTTGTCGGCAGATTAAATGCCCTCCACCCCAAGTACGGGAGGGCGCGTGTGTGCGTGCGTAAGTATAGGTTTGAGCGTTACGTGTATGTTTGTGTGTGTATATATATAGGGATGTGCATATATGTGTGTGTGTTTTTGCATTTCGGGGCAGAAGGATGTCAATTACCCAAAGTGGCTGCCGCATGATTGGATATAGATTCTGCGGTACGTCGCTTTGATGCTTCAACAAGAAGCATTTTTATTCCTCTCGAGTGGAAATTTTGTAATTTACCTTCCGCTGCGGCTATGCGAATATGTCAACTAACTCTAGTTAAGTAAATATTGGTCCATGCAGCATAGGACTTTATTAGCAAAATTAACCTGCCGCGCTCCATCATACAAGCAAATTACCGAAGCATTACGGCCATCAGATCTCCTCCGTCCCTCTACGGCTACCTGCGCCCTCCTTCGCCCCTACATCATCATCATTATCATCATCATCATCATCGTAGTCGGAGGCGGCGGCGGCGTTTGCTTGTTTTAATATTATTAGTGCAAGGCCCGTCTCCTTGACGCAGTCATTTACAAACATAATGATTTTGCACATCTCCGAGGTCCGGCGTGTTGCGTAATTGTTTTCGCAACGTCAAAATCGTGATCCCATAGTCAACAGTACCAGTATATCAGGTTTCAGATCATATCAGATGGATGCGAGAGATCCCACAACCGGCGAAGTATTCTCTCCTCCTCCTCCTCCACAGGTTCAGGATGCTGCTTTCACGGTAGAGTGACATTGTCTTTCTGGAATTAGCCAAATGTGTTTTCGCATATTAAGTATAATACCGGGCTGAGCCGAATTAATTCTCGCTCCCTTGCGGTGCCGCAGAGCACGGCAAAAGCATTAGCATCGGATCCTACCTTGTCTAGATCTTAAACCGTCGCGTGTCGCTCGGCGTCTTAGGAGAGGCGGTTCAAACGCCCGCCGCAAGAGGATTATCGAATGCAGATCCGTTGCGGGAGAACGGGGGGCGGTAGTTCGGGGTGCCGGAACCGCGGATCCATCACCATCTTCATCTTCCGCCACAATCGTACGAATAATTAATATCTGCTTGTCCTTGCCGATCCTTCGCTCCGAGGATAACGGATCCCGCAACCGTGACCCTTGCCTCTCCCCCTTTATCCTCTTACTTCTGTTTCTCCATCCCCTTCCTGTTGCTTTTCCTCCTCATTACGCCTAATCCGAACGCTGCTCCAATTCCAAACCACTTATCCGGCTGATTCATTTTTCTCATCTCTCGCATAATTTATGAAATACGCCAGTATCCGAATTACTCCTGTCTAGCATCGGAATCTCACATCGCAATCAATTATCAATTTGCATCGCTTCTTACATCATTTTGATTAAAAATACATTTTTTTATTAACTTATAATTAACACTAGCACATGTATTAATTATTTAGCAAATACCGTGTACAAACATAAGAAGAACGTGCAATACGAAAATGTATTCTGATTGCTATTTACTAATCGAGAACGTGCCCTATTTAATAATATAATAAATATTTGGTAGTAAAGTTTTTTTTTAATTTCATTATTTGTCTGTAATTATTTCTGTAAGAACAAGTTTCTGAGTTTGAAAAGTGATTTGTAATTTACTTAATTTTTGTAAAATGACTAAATCCAATTAATTTATTATATAATCAAGGTAAGAAAGTATAATTAACAGCAATAAATTAAAAATATGGATTGATTTTCTTGGAAATAATTGTTTGATCGTGTTTACTTAGAGCTAAACCAGTCGACTTACAATGGATATGAAAATATTTAAGTAGTGAATCATACTTAAGTATAGGATTATTATTAACATCATTCTAATAGCTAATAGTAATAAATATTGCAATAGTTTGACAAAATACCAAATGTAAATAAATATAAAAAAAATAATAAGTGTAATTAATCATAATAATTGCAAATCAAATATGCTTTACATTTGTTTTATTATTATTTATTTAATGTTAATGAAGTTGTACATTCTGAGAATTGTGATATGATATATTTATGTTTACAGTAGCTATTTTCTACACATTTATTATTTGAGTAAATATTTTGGTCTTTACAGCAATACCTTAAATAGTGGTAAAGACAATATCCCGCACTGTTTGAAACCGGATTGACCGAGGACTTTAAACCACATAAAAATAAACAATTTGTAACTTATTCAACCGTATAATTATTAACTTTTGATCATATTTAAAGTACGAAAACAGCAACATGTTAT